CTAGTGCATCCTAAATTTAACATAAATTAATTATCTTAACATGATATAGTCATTTCTGCATTTTTTTGGGGAGGTCACCTCCTAATAAATGTCATTACAGAAAATCTAACTGCTCATTTTAAATCAATACTTTTACTTTTAATACTTAAGTACAAAAATATCAGATACTTTAAGACTTTTACTCAAGCAATATTCCTAAAGGAGGTATCACTTTGTGGTACTTCATACAACACTGGTTAAACAAAGATCCTGCACATTCTGATAAGTGCTCAGTGTATGTGATGGGAATGACTCCACTAATATCACACCAAATTTTAGCTCAACACTTGTAAAACTGACTGAATAGTGTTTTTTTTTTTGTTTGTTTTTTGTTTGTTTTTTGTTTGTTTCTAAGGTCAGTTGTCTTATCAGGTTGACATAGACATACATCCAGTGATTGTCTGGGTGTTTCAAGAAAATCTGTCAAGTGAATAATGAGATATTTTGCTAAAAGTGAAAAAGAAGCTTACACTGTCTCCAGGCTTTTTGATGGTTTTTTTTTAAGAGTTTAGCTTCAACCCAGCATTTGTACCAGACCATTCCTGGGAAAACAAAGACAAACCTATTACTTAAGCTTTATTTTCCTTACAAATACATATATTTTAAATTGTAAGTCTTTAAACGGGCTTCATTTTGCATCAAAAAGCTGTAAAGATTGCCTCACAAAGTGTGATGCTGCTGTCTGCGTTTCTCTCCCTGACTTCACAGACTCGCCTTATCTCTCTCTCTCTCTCTTTCTTTCTCTGCGCTCCACATGCAAACACGGCTGCTTTATCAGCAGGTGAAACCATGCAAACGAGCTCCAGGGGAAGTGGTGGGAGCAGCGATAGGATATACCTACACAAAAACAGCCTTATCGCTGACAGTGGCCCCGTTGTGGTGAAGGGACAGGCTGCAGGCTCACCGTGCTCGTGTTGAAAGTACAGTAGGGATGATGTCAGCAGCCAACGTCGTACACACACAATCACACACCCAAACACACACACGGCGACTGTCCTGAGACTGTCAGAGGAAAAAAACAACAACCTGTTGTTAAATACAAACTGAACAAGGATGAAAAGCTCATGCTTTCAGGGATGTTTTTGGGAATGTGGGGCTTAGATTGCACCCATCCAGCACCAGTCTGCACCTGTAACAAACACATCAACAAACCGTGATAATGCTATTTTTATATGGGGGTTTCCTTAACTTTTATAAATTGCCAATCATTTCATATAGGGGCAATCTTAAATTACTTTTATGTACATAAATTGAATATCTGTGTATTAAACTGTAGCTAAACACAAAAAACTGTGGTTTGCATTAATAACAAAAGCAACATTTGTCGTTTACACCTCGCTAAAATTTATCAAAACAGGCCTTAACATGAAGAGTGTCTCGAAGCATTAAATAGATTTTTAGCTAAACTTTTAGAAACGGATCACTGGATGTGTATCCATGACCGATTAACTTCTGGAATTTATTTGATTCAAGATTGGCCATCACAGGTAATCCACACGAACATGCACAAATATGGTAATGACTCAGACAATTTAACAAATATTGAGCTAAAAAATAGGTGAGTGTTGGTAGATTATAGAGTCCCAGCTTATACTCTGAGCACTGAGATCTTTGTTTAAAACTTTACCCTGGACTGTTCGAAACAACATTGCGCAACATCTTTAGACAATTTTGCACAAAGAGTTTGCAACTATGGAGTCAGCCCAATTCAAGAAGGTCACACCAGATAATTCCCATTAGTAAAAGAGGCTATAGTGCTGTCAGCTTCAGTTTGGTGTGTTATGAGAGTCATTCTCAACACATACTGTGAGATCATGCAAAATATAGCAACGCCATGAGACTGCAGTGTTTGACCCAAACAGCGACAAATTCATCATTTTATAAGATGATCCTAATTTAAAACTCTGACGTGAAAGGTGCTGGGACACATGCCTTTGTTTAAGGAATGTTGTTTTTTAGTGAACTGCTTTATTGTTATTTTAAGCTATGAACACGTGCAAATCGCATTTTGTGTTACAGAAGTTTGCTTTGTTCAAACTGGAGTGAAACTGACTGAGAAGCTGACACCTGAGAACTCATTCGCTGTTTAAACATACATGTTTGCAATTTGTTCAAAGTGCCGTCCAAATACATTTTCCTATAAAAATTGAGAGTTTTAAGTTGAATAAGCAATTACATTTTGGTCCAGCTAAGATCAAATCTGTGTGTGTTGGTGGGTGGGGGGTGTTTCTGGTGACATTTGGGGGCAATTTTAAGAAAAAGTGCCTACCTTTGGGGACAACTGGTGCATTTGGGGACACAAGTTGAGTCCCCATTTGGTTTAAATGCCATTGGTGGGTTGGGGGTTGGGTTTAGGACCAAGGTGTGAATTGAGTTTAGGTTAGTTTTAGGGTCAGGTAGGTACCTGTGAGGTTAACCTTAGGGTTTGTGGTCAGAGTTAGGCTGTAGAAATGTAATGGAAGTCAATGGAATGTCCCCAACTGGAAAGATGGGCGAACATGTGTGTGTGTGTGTGTGTGTGTGTGTGTGT